ATATATATATATATGATATGCACAAAAAGTGTAACTCAGTCTCGAGCATTCATGTACAGCTCGAGGTGTTTACCCCGAGCATACATGTTCCCCAAAACCCTCACAAGGTCGGCTTTCAAGGTGGGGCCAACCAACTCTTCCTAAATTGCCCAATATGAGGTCGGGCCACTTAGGTCGGGTCTCACTGTCCACTACAGGCCACGTGTCCGTTAACATAATTTCTGCGGAAAGGTAATTATGCTCCACTTATAATTCTTTGGATCCTTATTTTAATTGTCTAACATACTCCTCAGATCCAAACTCAAGTAGAACACTTTCAACAAAACTCAAACACCTAACCCTAGGAGGAGAGGACTCTAAGAAGTTGAATCCTCCTACAATTCTATCACCAACACCTATAAATACATGACCAAGGCTCATTATTGAGGTACGCTTTTATAATACAATTGTATCATATACTTTTGCACAATCTCGTATCTGACTTAAGCATCGGAGGGGCGACGAGCACACATCTCGTTGCCTTTGTTTTAGGTACCGAAAGGCGCAGTTCGTGTTCCATCTCAGTCCTCAAGCTCGGGATCTACCGGGTACGATTTTTGGTAGCATCATTGGCGCCGTCTGTGGGAAGCGCTACCAAAAGCCATGGTAAATACACGATCAGGTCTTCCATAAGCAAGCTCATCTGTTCCAAATCCTCCCCCTGAAGATCATCCTATCCCTCAAGAGGAATCTTCAGAAATGGCAGCACCACCACCGGCCGTCATTACCGCCGGAGCTTTCGAAGAGCTCCGCCAACAAGTTACCGCATTAACTCAGTTGTTAAGCCAAATGAACTCACACCCATCGCATACACCGACACCGGATGGTGATCTGATGGCAGCTGCTCGGGCTCGAGTTTGGGCTCCACAAAATATTCCTAATAACAGTGTTGGAACCTCAGGTGTACCTCCTATGACCGCGGCCTCAAGGGCAATAACGATGGAATCAGGTAAACTTGCTAGAATCATCCAAAAAGGAATTACCGCGAGCCTACCACAGAAAGCTAAGGGGGCACCATGCTTTACCCCTAGCACTCCCTTTACTCCTGAAATATTATCCTTCCCTCTACCTGACAGGTTCAAGTACCCCCGTGTGAAAGAGTATGATGGTACTATCGACCCTATTAACCATCTGAACATTTATACCGACGTCATGAATCTCCAAGTTGCCCCCCATCAAGTTATGTGTAGAGCTTTTCCTCAAACGTTGACCAACGCAGCCCGAGACTAGTTTTCAACTTTGGAGCCAAACTCCGTAGCCTCTTTCTTGGATCTAGCCGACAAGTTCTCCGTCTTCTTCGCCAGCAGCAAGCGCATCAAGAAAACAACAAATTTGCTCATGCAACTTCGACAAGGGCAGAATGAATCTCTTCGCAACTTCATGACCAGATTCAACAAGGAAAGACTCCAGATTCCAGACCTCCATATCACAGCCATAGTCTTGGCCTTAACAGATGCCATAAGGTGTGAAGCGTTCAAGATATCTCTATCAAAGACCCCTCCTACGTCAGTAACCGACCTACTTACTCGAGCCGAGAAGTATATCAACATGGAAGAGACTATGTTTCCAAAGAGAGATGCCCCACCATCAGCTAAGCTCGAGCTTAAAAGGCAGCATGAGCTTAATTACATCAAAATCAGCCTCGGGGTAAGACAAGGCATGATAACCCTTCAGCAGCCTTTACTCGCATGAATACCACAAGATCTAACATTTTGATGGAGATCAATGATATGAAAGAGCTCAAATGGCCGTCAAGGATGAAGTCCTCTTCTAAGCCCTGGGACATGAACAAATATTGTGAGTTTCATCAAGACCATGGACATACTACAGAGACATGCAAAGCTTTACAGCGCGAGATCGAGTCTTTGATCAAGAGAGGATTCCTAGGGGCATATGTCAGTCAAGACAAGCGTTGGAGGAATGATCATAACTAGGTAAATACCTCAGGGACTGGGGACAACAATGGACCAACAGCGAGGACGATCAATGTCATTGTCTAGATGGTCAATGCCATACATCTAATGTACCAGGGTCTTACATGTTTTTATGCTCCATTTATTTTCATTTCATAATTGGTAGGGCCTGCGCGCCCATTTTATCTTTTAGCTGGTTGGGTCTGCGTGCCCATATTAGTTTGTTAGTTGGTCGGGCTTGCGTGCCTATAGTTTTCAGCTTATTTCGGTTAGGTGTCGGGATGCCATCCCAATAAAAATCTCCTCTTCCAACCCATGATAGCACATGAAAGCCTTGCCCCGTGCAAGCACTCAAAGCCTTGCCTTGTGTAAACACTCTAAGCCTTGCCCCCGAGCAAGCACCTCTAAACCCTGCCCCGTGCAAGCACTCAAAGCCTTGCCCTCGAGCAAGCACTCTAAGCCTTGCCCCCAAGCAAGCACCTCTAAACCTTGCCCCGTGCAAGCACTCTAAGCCTTGCCCTCGAGCAAGCACCTCTAAACCTTGCCCCGTGCAAGCACTCAAAGCCTTGCCCTCGAGCAAGCACTCTTAGCCTTGCTCCCGAGCAAGCACCTCCTTGTCTCATGCAAGCACTCAAAGCCTTGCCCTACGCAAGCACTCTAAGCCTTGCCCCTGAGCAAACACCTCTAAACCTTACCCCGTGCAAGCACTCAAAGCCTTGCCCTCGAGCAAGCACTCTTAGCCTTGCCCCGAGCAAGCACCTCTAAGCCTTGCCCCGCGCAAGCACCTCAAAGCCTTACCCCTGCGCAAGTACCTTTAAGCCTTGCCCCGAGCAAGCACTCAAAGCCTTGCCCCGTGCAAGCACTCAAAGCCCTGCCCCGTGCAAGCACTCAAAGCCCTGCCCTGCGCAGGCACTCTAAGCCTTGCCCTCGAGCAAGCACCTCTAAGTCTTGCCCCGCAAAAGCACTCAAAGCCTTTCCCCGAGCAAGCACTCAAAGCCTTGCCCCCCAGCAAGCACTCAAAGCCTTGCCCCCAAGCAAGCACCTTTAAGCCTTGCCCCCGCGCAAGCACTCAAAGCCTTGCCCCCGAGCAAGTACTCTAAGTCTTGCCCCGAGCAGGCACCTTTAAGCCTTGTCCCGTGCAAGCACTCTAAGTCTTGCTCTCAAGTAAGCACCTCTAAGCCTTGCCCCCGAACAAGTACCTCTAAGCTTTGTCCCCGAGCATGCATCTCAAAGCCTTGCCCCACGCGAGGATCTCTATGTCTCACAATGCATTAAGTAAAAATTTCGACCACTGGTCTATTCCGACCAAGGGTTCGGGAGCCTATCCTCGAGCTCAATACATTGCCAAAATCCCAGTAAAGTGCGTGAGCTCGAGGTCGAGCCTCTTACATATCAAGTTTGCCAGAGCTCGTGGTCGAGTCTCTCACGTATCAAGCTTGTCAGAGCTCGAGGTCGAGCCTCTTACATATCAAGCTCGCTAGAGCTCGAGGTCGAGCCTCTTACATATCAAGTTTTTTCCAGAGCTCGTGGTCGAGCCTCTCACATATCAAGCTTGCCAGAGCTCGAGGTCGAGCCTCTTACATATCAAGTTTTGCCAGAGCTCGTGGTCGAGCCTCTCACATATCAAGCTTTCCAGAGGTCAAACTCCTTCGCTTGATGTCTTTAACATGCTCGAGGTCAAGCTCTTTCGCTTGATGTCTT